TGCGCCTTTTTCTTCCATTTCCAACAACATATCTTTGCGAAATAGGGTTTTCCAGCTTGTTGGTTATCAAGTCTAAATACAGAAGTAGACTTCTTGTGGAAGATGATTTTCGTTGTGCTCTTGCCCTAAGAATTTCTGATTTGGTGAGAAAGAAGCAATCTCAACCTTCGCACTGACGTTGGCTTTTTATGCATACTGTTACAAAATGTACCAATGTAGTTTACTGTTGTTGTATTAAAACTGTTATCCATTCTACACCATGCTTCAAACAAAATTTCATTTATTTGTAATTAGAAATAAATATTTCACAATATATAATTACATATTTGTTTTGTGATTAATCACTATGCTTTAATTATGTTCAATTTGTAACAATAAAAATACATGGTCCTCGCACTTTTGACCAGTCCTCGAACTTATGACTGTCCTCACATTTTACGTTTTTGCCCTATTTTATCACCATGGTGAAGAGAAGCAGTTGTGAAATGAGTGACGTGGTTGTTAAGAATGCTGCACCAGCATAAAGGACCAGTCAAAAGTGCGAAGATCTGTCAGAAATGACTTTTTTCAGCCCTCTGAGTAGTCCCTATACACATAGCCATGGCCACCCAGTCACATGACCAGCTAGCCATGCCCACCCAGTCACATGACCTCCAAGCCATGCCCACTAAATAAGCCACGCCCACCCCTGGTTGGGGGTCACCACAACATGAGGAACTGTATTAATGGGTTGCAGCATTAGGAAGGTTGAGAACCACTGTACCTTAATCCATTTTTATAGAGGATAGATATTATCCCAAAGAACAATAAGAAAAAGGACAATCCAAAGAGAAAAGATCTTCAGGCTCTTGTATGCCTTAATCCAATTGAATAGAAGGATATTGACCAAATTAACAATCTCCAATCAAAGAAAAGAAAGAAAAAAATTCTTCAGGCTCTTGTATGCCTTCTTCCAATTAAACAGAAGAATGTTGGACACATTAATAATCTCCCATCAACAGGGGAGTAAAGAAAAAAAAAGAAAATAAAGGGAAAAGATAAGAATTACAAAAAAAAAAAAAAAAAACCGAAGAGGAAAGGAAGAAAAAACAAACACAACTAGGATCCATATGTATATCAAAAATTTAGAAATCTTCCAAACAAAAAACATAATCCGGTTAAAAATAATTAAAGGGGAGAGAAGTGGAGAAATAGAAAAATGATACCCCCCCCGCAAAAAAAAGAAAAAGAAAAGAAAAGATAAACTTTCTGTCTAAAAGAAAAATCCACAACTGTGTAATATCCAAAAGTTCTTTTGTAGGTCTCACCTAATATTTACAGCTCTCTTTCCAGAGTCACTGCAATCTTCTTCTTTCAAGTCTCAGCCTCCTGCCAATATAGTTTCCCAGAAGAGCACCTGAATAAACAATCCTGCAGACAGTCTTTGATGCTCTTCTCATTATTTTATCTATGAGCAGGCTCAGAGTCCTTGAAATGTAATACAGTTGCTCTTTCTTTTGCCAGTAGAAAAAAAAAAGATACAATGTTTCAATCCACTAGATGGCAGCATTACTTATTTCCTCCACTTTCCCTCTTTATCCAATAGACGATAAGACAAAATAAAAATATAGAGGAGAGAAAAATAGCAAAACTAAACCAAAATAGTATTAAACTAAAAAGGCACTAAAAATTTAGCAATTAAATGAATAAAAAGGGAATCCCCAGTCCAATCCAGTCCAAAGACTCCATAGACATCCACAAATCAAAATAAATTACAAAATAGGAAAAACTACCTTAGACTCAGGCTCAATTCTGCCGCCTAACTTCTTCTGTCTTCAATTTTAATTATCTTTTCACCCCAGAGTATTCTTTCAATTAGTCTATTTTTAAAAAATCTCTCACCAAGCTGACACACTTTTTCTCATTCTCTTCCGTTCCGGAGCTGTCCCAACTTCAGCAGCTTAATGGCTGCCTCTTCAATGCCTGAAATAAGGGCTTCTCCTGGATCAACCAGGGATTTTGCAGTGTCCCTGGGATCAACAGGATGTGCCCTCCACTATCACCATCTCTACGGGATGGTGAGGTCCAAACTGGACCGTCCAGCGGCGCAGATATTGACGGTGATCTCGGAGCACCAAGATCGTCCGTTGTACCATTGTGACGTCAGCTCCACCCTCCCATTTCTATCCCCTCATGCAAAATGTGATACCCCAGATAGTCAATTTTAGTCTGGTGGAATTCGCATTTTGACAGCTTAGCATACAGGCAGCATCTCCACCTCGGCGTCTGGTAGTTGCTACTCCTTGGGGGATCTTCTCCAGCTCCGGTAACCTCCCCACATCCAGCGACCATTTAGCTCTCTCCGCCTTTTCGTCAAGTTGTAAATCAGCCATCCACTCCGAAGCCTCCCAGCCAGGGTGTGACAGGGAGGTCGCGGAACCAGCAGTTCCCATATCCTCCTGGTCGCTGTCTTAGTCAGACATTCTTTGCTCAGCTGCCACAGTAGTTTTCCGGGATGGCTGTTAATTGCAGACCTTGCTTAATGTCAGGTATGCCTCCTTTCAACACTCAAGAAAGAAAAACCCCGACTCCATTTTCATAGAGCAAAGTACTTTTACTGGGTATGAACTGAATGCAACCAAAGAAAAGCAAGTTCTGAGGCAATAGGCACAAAAATCACATATAGAAAGCATTCTTAAAACCCTCCCCCCAATCGTCCAGTCAGGGTTATCCAATCTACATCCCCCCAAGGGGTCATGTGGGATGCAGCTTCCGATGGCTCCATCCTCCTGGTATGCCACGGCAGTTGACCTTGAGTGGTTATCAGCGCGCCTCCCAGCTGCAGAGAAACGCTGAGGAAAACTTTCTCCCATTTACTCCACCAGCTCACTCCTCCCCCCAGACAGCTCCCCCCTCCCCCCATTACAATGGCAGCTGAGCAAGCAAGCAATATAAAGGCGGAGGCTGACAGATACTCTGTTGGCTCCTTTGCTTCATTCTGGAGAGCTTAAATGACCTCTCTGTTAAAGGGTTTCACTTTATGAGCAAGAGTTGGCTGTTGATAGTTATAATTGCATTTTAACTATTTTAATTCCTCAAGGTGCTCTGGCACCTTCCCTGATTTGTAACTCCAGTTTGCAGGTATTTCTACTCTAATGATTGGTATTTAGGGCAGCTTTTTGCAAGCAAGTAAGCTTTTTGTATTTTTGTACAGGTAATCCTTGACTTACAACAGTTACAATGGCACTGAAAAAAGTGACTTATGACCGTTTTTCACACGACCATTGCAGCAAACTGTCATTAGGGCAAAGAAGCTATGCCACATGACCATCTGGCCATGCCCACCCAGTCACATGAAGCACCGTAGTTGTGAAATGAGTGACACGATTGTTAAGAATGCTGCAACTGGCATAAATGATGACCGGTCATAAGTGCGAGGACCGGTCAAAAATGCAAGGACCTGTCAGAAATCACTTTTTTCAGCCCTCTGGGTAGTCCCTATGTGCACAGGGACTACTCAGAGAGCTGAAAAAGTTATTTTTGACTGGTCCTCGCACTTTTAACTGGTCCTCACACTTACGACTGTCCTCACATTTTACATTTTGCACCCTATCTTGTCACCATGGTGAAGAGAAGCATTTGTGAAATGAGTGACATGGTTGTTAAGAATGCTGCAATGGTCATAAATGATGACCGGTCATAAGTGCGAGGACTGGTCAAAAGTGCGAGGACCGATCAGAAATGACGTTTTTCAGTCCTCTGAGTAGTCCCAATGCACATACCATGGCCACCCAATCACATGACCACCAAGCCATGCCCCCAAATAAGCCACGCCCACAGAACTGGTTGTTAAAAAAATTGAATCCCACCACTGCTCTTATCTGTTAGTAAGTCCTTATATCTATCAATATTTCCAACATTAAAAACATTTGGGTGTATCAAAGCTTTCATTGTTGATAACCATATTGGTATTTTCACATAATATTTATCTCTGACCTTCTCCCATACCAATAACAATGCATTCCTTATATAATGTTTATGAAAGTACGTATGTATCCTATTTCTACCATACCATAAAAATGCATGCCATCCCAATTGTAAATCATGACCTTCCAGTGTTAATAGTCTTGTATTTCTTAATTCAACCCATTCCTTCATCCAAGTCAATGCTGCTGCCTGGTAATACAATTCCCAGTTCGGTAACCCAAATCCTCCACGTAATCTCTTGTCCTGAAGCATTTTTATGCTTATTCTTGCTTTTTTCCCTTGCCATATAAATTTCCTTATGTAATACACAGGAAATACCTGTCACCCGGAAAATAATTGACAGAGAGTTGAAAGATGAGACAAGGAAAAATTTATTTCTTTGCAAAGGTCCCTCTCAAAGTGAGAGAGCAATTTACATATCTCTCTGACCGTCTTTTATACAATTTTAGGTTACATCGTACAGGATACAAACCAGGATACAAGCATGTCCCTTGAGTACAATTTCAGACTTTATATAACAAGTAAACACATGTTTTCCCCTTGTGGAAAGTCCCCACAAGTCCAGTATATAAAAATACCCTACTTAAAAATATTGCTTATACGTGTAATATATAATATCAGCATATGCGTACTTCCCCTTCTTAATGAGGGCAAAATGACCTGAAAGCCTATTTCCTGCCAGAGAAACACATTCTCAAGAACACAGGAATTACACAGTTCCTTTCTCATGTTCTTAAATGTCAGCTAAATTATATAATCAGGTTATACAGAGTAAAATAAAGCCTTGACATGATTTCAAAATGGCGTAACTTAGGCTATACTTTTTTACAGGAATAATCCTAATTTCTTTATTTCTCACAATCCCCACTTCTCCTCTTCATTACTTTTTATTCCTGTAAATTATGTATATCTTGTAACATTATAGAAACTTCTCTTCTCCCTAAGCCACCATGCGAATCTCCAGCCAATTTTTCTTCTTTATTCGACAGCAACACTTCCAAAAAATCACAGCAAATAGGTATGCATTTAATACAAAGACAAGAAATAAGACATATAACTATAATCAATAATATGCCTACAAACAATTCCCTTAACCATGCAAAGTTAGGTAACCATGAGGTTAATATATCCCAAACTTCTCTAAAAGCTGTATTTTGGACTCCCAAATAATATTATAACATGTGACAAATTGAAATTATTTGGTTCTATTATGATATTTGCTTCTTCAAATAAAAACTTTCCCGGTACTGGCACCCCCACAAAACATGTAGCCATTATATCAGAGACAGTTGTCTCACCCCTGATACAAAAGGAAGTACTGTTTAAAGCTACCTTCATTAAATCCAGAAATATATTGCCTTCTCTCGTTCTCCGTTCAGCAATACTTCTGGTATATCATAAAGGTGCCTTAAGATAACCAACAGCACATCTTCCCTTCCAGAAATAAGGCAATTTAGGCAAAGCCAAATTTCCACATAGAAACATTAACTTCAAAGGGGCTTTTATTTCAAAATATGGAAAGCGTAATCCTTCCTCCAAAATACGGAATATTTTATATGAAGGAGTATGATTACCATATAAATCAGTACATTGATTATATAAAAACTCCATTCTATCTAATAAATCAGTGTATTTAGGGGTTATGTCATATCTATTATTACATCTGGCATATCTGCCCAATGGTATACCATCTACAAAAGATGATTTTATACATATATCAGCTTCTTCAGCACCCTCTATCAAGGTCAGTGTCTCTATTAAAGAATATCGGTGCTCGAGTTCAGTATGGAAACATAACTGCTGCCATGTTATTGGATAATCTTGTAACACATCCAACATCTCTTTTTCCATCCCTATCTGCACCTTCAATAGAATAAACAGAAACACCATATACCCCATCTTCCTAGTGGACTAATTCCCCTCTCCAATATAGCTTCCAAAAAGATAAAATATTATTATCTTACCACCAAAGTATCAGACTGTCAAAGTGAACCTACATCCACTGGATACCAAAGCATAGATTTACACCAGTCAATTATATCTTTTCTTAATATAATCAAAAATACAACAAAAATTAATATCACTCCTAGCCAAATACAAAATTCTTCACAAAACTCTTCTTCCATCCGTTGGTCATCAATCGTCTAAGGGTTGTCGACGAAAGGTCAATTTAAGAGGATCTGTAGATTTCGCAGCAACCGTCCATCCGGTCCTTTCACTCTAGAATAGCATACCCAGCCTTGTTCCTTAGTCCTTACAGCCGACCCTGTAGTTAGCAGAACTTGGGACGGTCCTTCCCACACCGGCTGCAACTTTTTCTCCTTAAGTGCTTTGATCAGGACCCAGTCTCCGCTTTTGTATTCATGGATTTGGAAATCAAGAGGTGGAGTCTGTCCTTTTTACCTTAAATGAGAAAAACACTGGGACAGTCCCTGTATATATTTTTTCAGAAAAAAAACATCTTTCAATTCTATCCTAAGCATCTCAACTTTCCCCGCATACAGCAATCCAAACATCATTTCATACGTAAATATCCCCAGAACTTTCCTAGGACTAGTTCTTATTCTTAATATAGCTAAAGGCAAACACTTCGTCCAAGGTAGTTGAAGCTCTAACATTAATCTTTGTAACATAAATTTACTTGTCTGATTAGCACATTCACAACGCCCTGTAGAACTTGGCGTGAACAATAAATGTAGTTGCCAATCAATTCCTAATTGTTCTATAACCTCTATCACCTGGACAATGAAATGTGTACCGCTATCACTATCAATAAGATCAACCAATGCATATTTGGGTATTATTCGCTCCAATATGATTTAACAATCATCTGAGCACCTGTCTTTACACAAAGAAAGGCTTCAAACTATCCAGTAAATTAATCCACTATTATTATTACATATATCAATGGTCACACCACCGGCATTTCAATGTAATCTACTTGGATTCATTGAAAAGGCCAAATGGTCAATCTCTACATATTATGCACATACACAATGTATTCATTTCCGTACCATTTGTATAACTATTGTATACACACTCCTACACACATATATGCATATATGTTTAATAAAATCAATAAGTGCTTGCATTCCCCAATAGGTTCCCTCATGCACTCACAGCTTTAGTAAAAATTTGCACCCTTCCTTTAGTCATCCATTTCCCATTCACTTACACATCCCTTCATCCACTATTTGTATAATAGCAAGTTTAGAAGAACCTATCAGCTGCCTTTAAAACAGCTGTGATAAAATCCACCTGCTGCAATTCCTTCCTATTACTAAATATCAACCCCCTTTCAATCCAGATTATCCCAAAAGTATGTATGATACCATAAGCATATTTTGAATCAACATGAATATTCCCTACCTCATTAGTTAATATGCGCAATGCTTACAATAAAGAAAAAACCTCACATGTCTGCTCTGACCATTCAGACGGTAACTTTCCAGCTTGCAATATCGTAGTAGTGTCTCCATTCACAACTACATAACCATTCAGCCTCATCCCATTCTCAACCTATTTATTCATAACCACACAATTTCATTTCACATCATCCCATCTCTCTCTCCTGACAGGAATTCAACTAAATTTAAATTCCTATTGGTCAAGAGAACCAAATTCTCTTGAGACAATTTTATTACTTTCTTCAACTCTTCAAACCTTTCTTCCAAACAACTTAGTTTGGAATTAACTATCAATAAATCAATAAAGTATCAATAAATACTCAACTCTCCCCACTTCGGAGGAATCACACCACACCTCTATCACAAATTAGCTAAACTATTTCCATAAGCTTCAAAGAAATGCAAAGCTTAATCTAAATTCACAAGTCTAAACCACAAGTCTATACAGACTAACTTACAGGTAACTTCCTAGCTAACCAGACCAAAAGTCCATCTTTACTTTCTACCAGTAAGTAATTCTTCCCTCAAGGGAACATCCCTTATCTGGACAACACTAAGCTAAAATAACATAGTCAACTATTCCCCAGGCTATCCAGTATCGAGGCTATCCTAGAAATCTCCTTCTCAACATTCAAAATCATTCAAAATGCACAGACATAAAAATATAAAAGTGGGTAATAAAAAACTTCAAAAAGCAAAAGAAAATCACCTAATAGAGGTACTCCGGCTAATAGAGGTACTCCGGCTCTCTACTCCCAAAAATAATTATTTTAAACTTTCAATGTCACTTCTCTATTATATAGATTTATTTAAACACCTCAAACATTTCACAAACAAAAATAAAATCAAAACTCAGAGCAGGACAGGAAATACATCTGCATAGCTGCCAATGCAGTCAGAAACAATGCAGGATCAAATCACCCATTCGCCCCTCCTTTCTCTCAGACAAACTCAGCAAAGGAAAAAAAATGTGTAAAAGGGAAAACAAACCGCACCTCCCCCCCCTTTCCTACTTCTCTTGTTCAGAACAAAAAAAACAGGGGAAATATAGGGAGGAAAAATACTACTCCTGTCTCCATTTAACATCGTAAATACCTCTTCCTAATCCTACTTCTCCATAGGATCTCTCTCATCTCTCACTTGCTCATTCAAACACTTGCTATTACAACATAACAACAACTACAACAACAAACTCTTGCCACTCACTATTTCATTATACAAAAGGAGACCTCTCAGGGATTCAACGCACAGGCATTTACAAATATCAGGATCACCGTACCACCCCCCCATGTGAGGGCTTACCACACACACTCATATTTATTCTGCAATCAGACCTTTTAGTGTATTCCAACACACACATACCATTTAACAACATTTGCAAACCTGGAATAAAACCTGGGAATGTTCCATCCCTTCAGATACCCATTTCATTTTCATCCTTGACATCTTGTAGCCTACTCCTCAAGCAGTGGAAAACTTCAGGATGCGGTTTTTTAATCAAAAACTTGAATTCGGGCCCTAACCATCATCCGTTTTCCACAGCTCCAAGCTCAAGCCAAGAAGGTCACTTAATTAGCCGGCACACATATATCTCTATCACATCACATTAATCAAAGACAAAATATTCACATTCAACCTCAGGTAGGAAGAACAATAAACCTTCCTTACTACATTCCTATAGAGTTTTCTGCCTCATCCAAGAACGAGAAAGATCTGTATACCAAGCTCACATCCCAGAAGAGACAATGCATCCCTCCCAAACAGATTAATACCTGCTTCTGGAACAAATATCACATCCAAATGTATAATACACTTTCCACAACTCAATTTCACATTCTTCAACAATGGCACATCAAAAGGTATACCCTTGACACCTCTTATCTTAATAGTTACACCTGTGGGATGCACTCCTCTAGGCAATTTACAAATAGAGGTTCTAGTCACACCCGTATCTATTAGAAACACATGATCCTCCTCTTCTGGACCCACTAATCATCCTCTTCTCAGGACAAGCTCTAGCAAAATGCCTCTCCTTTACACACACAAAGCACTTCTTGCTTTCCAATCCACCAGCACTAGGAGTAATACTCTCCCAATTCCAGGACACTGTCGCCACATTGCAACAGAAGTTTCACAAAGCCTTTTCCTCTTCCACCTAACTCCTTTCCCTCTCCTGTCTGTTTCAACACAGACACCATCATTCGACTTTTCTTTCTTTCTTTTTCTCCTAGTCTTGGCCTTGTCCCTATTCACATAGACCTTTTGAGCTTCTTTCAACAGAGCAGCAATATCAGTAGTAGCCCAATTCTCAAGCTTCTGTATGCCTGGCCATGATTTTGTCACAAATTTCATTTTCATTAAGGACTCATAAGCCGGCATTTCAGGAGAAAGACCAGTGTGCTTATTCAAATTGTCCTTAATATATTCCAGAAACACAGACGGTGTTTCTTCCCACAACTGTTCCACCTCCAAGACTTTTGTTAAAGTTTCTTCCTTGAGGTACAGCTGTCTTAACTCCCTGAATTATAATTCTCTTCAGGTCCTCCATTTGCCCCCGGTCAGCCAAATTAACTAATTTAGCTAATTTAGGATCAAATGGAGACTTAACATCGGCAGCAACGGGCTGAGCAGCCCCCACTTGGATTTTATCCAAAAAAAAAGCCATAGCTGCCTTTCGAATTTGTGACCTCTCCTCAAGGGAGAACAAAAATCCAATGACTCAGACAACTTGATCAGATCCGCCTATAAAGACGGCATGTTGCCTTCATAATCTTCCAGATCAGAAGATGTCAAAGACACATTCACAAAAGCCGCAATACTATTCAGCATTCCTCTTAAAGGAAACATTCCTTTAGTTTGTGAACATGTAACACGAGGAGAAGTGGATGGATTCTGTTTCACAGTTACTGACAATTCATCCAACTCCTTCTCCGGCTGCCTATATTACTGCCCTGCCGAAGTCTCTTCCTTTCTGCTCCCAGCAACAACATTCCACCCACAACCTGGATTATACGAAGGAGGGGGAGGTGGGCATGTAGCATAAACTAAAGGATCCTAGCCTTCCTCTTCTCCTTCCCATACAAAACTCTAGAACTTCTCTGGGGAAGAGGGTCAAACTACTGAACATGGAACTGAGGTTCAACATATGGCAACTGAGAAATAAGTTTTTTGCTTTCCAAAACCTTCTTCAAGGCATTAATCCAATACGGGTCAGACTCCCCAAACTTACTCCACCTATAATTAGGCTTTATCAAAATAAATTTCGGCCACACCCTAGTACAATAATTAATCATAGCTACTTTATCCAACTGTTTGGTATAAACCTTCAACCAGTCCTCTGTCCACTGAGTTAACAACTCCCCTAAAGGTGATATCGGAGAGATGGAGGGTATTTTATTGTTAGTATTATTACCACGTTTACTCCAAGAAAGCCCCATACTGTCACTTTCACACACAAACCACACACACTAAGCACACCTAATAATAACCCAAGAGAGAGGAAAGAATACTCACTCACTCCCAGTGCAGTCCCCCGGAACGTTCCTCTTGTCTCCTGTCTCAACGTCCAAGTCTCCGTCTCAGGGCTTTTAGAAAAGCTGCTCCCGTCCGGCAAGAAAACAAACCTTACACCAAAACAGTGTTTTGTGCGCTTTTTTAGATTTATTTGCTCACCAGACGAAAGGTTCTCAGGTCCCTGTTCAGTGCCAATTGTGATACACAGGAAATACCTGTCATCCGGAAAATAATTGACAGAGTTGAAAGATGAGACAAGGAAAAATTTATTTCTTTGCAAAGGTCCCTCTCAAAGTGAGAGAGCAATTTACATATCTCTCTGACCGTCTTTTATACAATTTTAGGTTACATCGTACAGGATACAAACCAGGATACAAGCATGTCCCTTGAGTACAATTTCAGACTTTATATAACAAGTAAACACATGTTTTTCCCTTGTGGAAAGTCCCCACAAATCCAGTATATAAAAATACCATACTTAAAAATATTGCTTATACGTGTAATATGTAATATCAGCATATGCGTATTTCCCCTTCTTAATGAGGGCAAAATGACCTGAATCCTATTTCCTGCCAGAGAAACACATTCTCAAGAACACAGGAATTACACAGTTCCTTTCTCATGTTCTTAAATGTCAGCTAAATTATATAATCAGGTTATACAGAGTAAAATAAAGCCTTGACATGATTTCAAAATGGCGTAACTTAGGCTATACTTTTTTACAGGAATAATCCTAATTTCTTTATTTCTCACACCTTATTATCTTATTAAGCTGTTGAAAATAAGTCTTTTCAATTTTTATCAGTACTGTCTGAAATATGAATAATAATCTTGGTAATATATTCATCTTTATTATTGCAATCCTTCCCATTAGTGACAATTGAAGATTCTTCCACTTCTCCAAGTCTTTCTTGATTTATTGTTTTAATCTATAATAATTATCCTCTTTTATCGTTACATATCTTGAAGACTCCTAAGTATTTAACTTTTTCACCACTTGTATATCTAAGTTCTCTTCTATCTCTCTTTGTGTTTTTCTGTAATATTTTTCACCAAAATGTTCGTTTTATCTTTATTTATTTTTAGACCAGACACCTTTCCATAATTCTATATTTGTTCTAGTAATTTGGGAGCTGTTGTTTGTGGTTCCTCTAAGATGATTACTAAGTCATCTGCAAAAGCTTGCAGTTTATACTCTTCTGTTTTGATTTTCATCCCTTTATCTCTTCATTTCACCTAATATTTCTATTTAAAACTTCTAAGGACAAAATAAACAGCAATGGTGATAGAGGACATCCTTGTCTAGTGCCCTTCATAATGCTAACATTTTCTGTCATTTCTCCATTCATCATTATCTTAGCAGATTGTCTGTCATAAATCATTTTTATAGTGTTTATAAATCTGTCCGCAAAGTCCATTCTCTGCAGTAGTTCTATCATAAATTGCCAGTTCACATTGTCAAAAGCTTTTTGGGCATCTAGAAACATCATTGCCATTTGTTTTTCTGAATGTCTCTCATAATATTCCAAAGTATTCAAAATTATCTTCATATTGTCTCTGATTTGCCTTTTAGGTAAAAATCCATTTTGGTCCATATGAATAAATTCATTTAACAGTTTTTAAAATCTATCTGCCATTACTGAAGCAAAAAATTTATAATCCACATTTAGAGGTCTATAGTTTTTTTTAAATCAATTGTAGGTCTGTATCCTCTTTAGGTATACGTGTTATCTAAGCCTCCCTCCATGAGTCTGGCATTCTTGCCTTCATTACTAATTCATTAAATAGTTCCAACATTACATTATTCATCACGTCCTGGTGCTTTCACATTTTTTGTCCTTTTATCGCTTCTGTTAATTCCATCATTGTTATTCTTTCCTCTAGCATTCCCTTATATTGTTCTGGTATTTTAGATAAATCTGATTTTTCCAAATATTTTATTATCTCTTCCTCTGAAATCTTTTCTTGGGAAGAGAGTTTTTCATAGTATTTTTGAATTACTATCTTCTTTTCTTCATTTCTATAGTGTAATTTCCCCTCTTCATCTTGTAAATATTTTATTATTTTCTTCTTCTTCTCTTTTTTTAATTTATTCTAACTACCTTCCTGGTTTGTTTGCATTTTCAAAAAAATTCTGTTTAGATGCTCTTAATTTATTTGCTAATGATTCCTGTTCATTTAAATTCATTTCATGTTTTTTCACTTCCATCAGCTTCTCGATTTTTTTATTTTGGATATCTTTTTGGAATTCTTTCTCTAAGTTCTTATACTCTTCCAATCTTATCTGTTTTTGCCTTTTCTTTTTATTCTTTTTTTCCCAAATATGTAATTGCTAAACCTCTAATATAAACTTTCATTGTATCCCATACATTCTGAAGTGATGTATTTTCTTTCTTATTTATTTTAAAGAAAAATTCTTGTTCTTTTTCCATAAACTGCTGAAAGTCTTTTTCATTTAATATTGTTACATTCAAAGTCCATCTTGTCTTTTTCTTCTTTCCTTTCCATATTATTGTCATTGGGCTATGGTCCGCCCAAATATTTGAAGCAATATTTACTTCTTGTATATTATCTGTAAGTTCTGTAGACATCCATATCCTTGACCACAATAAATGTCTATTTGAATAGAAGGTATACTGGTTTTCTTTCAAGTGTTTTATATCCAAATATCTTGAATACTCAACTCTTCTATCATTGTAAAAAAAGATTTTGACAATATTCTTCTGGATATTTTATTTGTCTTCATTGTTTTATAGTCCAAATCCACATTTGTTATGGCATTAAAATCACCCATTATACATACATATTCATAGTCTAAAATTCTAAAATTTTTCTGTGTAATCTCCGATCAAATTCTTTTGTTTTTCATTTGGTGCATATATTGCTATCAAAAATATTAAGCTTCCGGTCTGGCTTCCGTCGCCGCCAGACGGTTCTCTGAGACTGCCAGCCCCGTTGCCTGTAAAGAGCCGCCTTTACATCTGAAAGGCGGCTCGAAAAACTCCATTTCCTGAAGGAAATGTGAGACAGAGCAGGCGAGGGCAGGTAGAGCTCTCTGCAAAGTCCCCAGAGTTCTTTTTTTACTCTTGGGGATGAGCAGGTTGTGGCTCCCTATTTCCGCTCGCCGCTGCTCCGGGCTTCGGGAGAACTCTGCCTTTTTGCAGAGCCAGGTTCTGGGACCGGACCAATCAATTAAATTAACAGATGGTTTAATTAAAGAGGACGAGATTTGGACTTGGGACCCTAAATCGCAAGTATTTTTAATGATTTTACAAGCGTTTTTAAGTGAAGGAAAAAAAAGTTTAAAATGGCGACTGCTGAGGCTTGAGAAGAAGGAGAAAGCCGAAAGCGAAAGTCCTTCCGTAACAAGATACAAAGTAGTGGAATAAACAGTGCTGGCTAGAATCTAGAAGAAAAATATCTATTTTAAGTTTCTTTTTTCTTGGAGATTTGTACTTGATCTTGCTTGGGGAAAAGTTTTCTTTCTTTAAAAAGAGTTTGTTTGTGTGGCAGGATGGCGTTAAAACTAATAAAGCCTGACAAACAAGCAGTGGGGGTGGGGGTGTTCCCCCATTTACAATTATGTGAACAAGTTCTGAGCTTACAGACTCAGCAGAATGGCTTTAATTTAAAAGAATTTGTCCTGGAGGAAATGGCAAGATATCACGAGACTGTGAACCAGAAACTTGAAAAATTTAGGCAGGAAATTAAAGAAATGATACAACTAAAGTATGATAATCTGCAACGAAAGATTGTAACAGTGACTAATGCTTTTTCAGAAATTGTTATAAAGATGGATACAAATATCAAGTTATTAGAGTCTAAAATGGAGGAAGTTGATGATAAGATTTATAATTTGGATAATAAAATACAAAGAATTGAAAATGATTTGATAAATATTCAAGACAATAGTTTAGAAGTAAAGTCTAAAAAGGAAGCTGGTCACGAGACTTACAATGCAGAAGATATAAAGCAAGGGATTGAAAAAGAAGTTACAATGATGCAATACAGGCTCACGGAATTTGCGATTAGAATGAGAGGGTTACAGGAAAATAATAGAGATGATTTAAGAAAAATATCTGCTCAAGTTCTGGCTGGGATTTTAAAAGTTCATCCTGAGGAGGTATCTTGTAAGATTGACAAGGCCTATAGAGTAAATTCTTGGATTGCAAAGCAAAGGCAATTGCCTAGAGATGTGGTGATTTACTTCACAGATAAAGAAATAAGAAATGATATTGTGCAAAAATCCTTTAATTCTACTCTACAATTGTATGGAAGAAAGATCTGGATATATAAAGAGTTGCCGCCTAAGATGCTAAAAGATAGAAAGAAATTTGGATTTTTGGTGACTGAGCTAAAGAAACAAAACATCTCATTCAGGTGGGACGTTCCAGTTGGCATAATATTGAGATATCAAGGAGAAAGATATCAGCTAAATACTGTTGAAAAAGCGGAAGAATTTTACTACAAGGTTCTCAAAAAGCAAAATCAACAAGAGATAGAAATTCAAGATAAGCAGAAGGAGGTGGAAGTAATGGAAAAACAGCAAGTTACAGAGGTCTTTGTAGATGAACCGCTTCTGGATTCTCCTTCAGAGGTCTCAGCTGGACTATTTATAAATACAAGAGAGGCGGCTCTGGATTCTAATGTAATGATTTATCAAGTTACAGACCAGCATGGAAATCAATCAGTTGATATACAACTCATAGAACCAGAAAGGAGATTTAAGCCACAAAAGCAAAACCAACAAGATCAAGTTATAGATCAGCATGAAAACCAAACAGTTGATATACAATTTATAGAAAGGAAATCAGGATGGAGATCTAACCCACAAAATGTCAAGAAAAGAAGAAGCAGGTCTCACAAAAACAAAAACTTTTAAACTAAACAACAGCGTAATGCCAGTTATTTAAGAGATGATTGAATATATGAAAAGATAGCTGAGGCAAAGTATTGGTTTATATTATCCTGAGGAGAGTGACAGACTTCTGCAGTGCTGTACTTTGGGATGTGAAAAGGGCCTTAAACTGAATGGATTGGAACTATCTTTTTTTGGATTCTTTGATAAATGTACTACGTTTATGCTGAGCTACAAGGCGAGAGAGCTATGGAATTGGCACGCAGATGATCTGGCTGTTACCCTATTACGGTGGTTGGAATTAATAATTTGGATGAAAGACACCACTATAGACACTATATGGAATACAAATATAAA